CCCCCCCCCTCCCCTCCCTTCTGTAGTGTCTTATACGCTGTACATAAACCTCCTGTGGCCTGAGAAGAGCCCCTTCCGTGTGCCCCTCTGACACCAGTTCTGCTCTACAAAGGGCCTGACTTTGGGGCTGAGGCCCTTTTTATTGAGGCGACTTCTGGTTCATGGCATTGGGACGAGCTTTTGCCCTGCTGTCAGTGACTTTGTACAGTGAAACCTGCACCAGAGAGGCACACAACATGGCAGCATGGTTAATGGGCAGCCCGTGGTGGACGCTCCTATGCAGACTGTATTAGAGGGTCAGCCATTTCTTGTGTGTTGGACTATCTGCATCCAGCTAGCATGCGTTTGCACTGGAGGGTATTCAAGCAAATCTACAACCTCTGTTAGCTTCTTGCTGTACGTGTCCCCGCCTCACTTCCTGTCAGTCAATATCTTCAAGGGAGACTTCCTGTTGGGGGTGGGGGGCGGGAATGCTTTTAAAGCCACGTTTAACTTTTTATAGTCTCATGGTGGCTTTCAGTTGGGGTGTCCTCTCCTCTCGGCATTGGTGTATACCAGGGGTAGCAAACCTCCGGCCTGTCCAGCTGCGGTGAAACTACAAATCCCATGATGCATCTCTCTCTCCGGGAGTCGTGGCTGTGAGAATCTTGCAATGCCTCATGGGATTTGTAGTTCCACCACAGCTGGAGGGCCTGAGGTTTGCTACCCCTGGTGTAAACCGTAGATGACCAGCTCTTGTTTTGGATCGAATGGGGGGAAGGTTGGAACCCTTGTCAGGTTTTATTGCTGTCTGGAGGCGACCTCTTCCATCAGACGGGAAGGTCACAGCTGCCGTCTGGGCCGCATCGCCGCCTTCTGTCCTGTCTGACGCGTGCCGGGCGCCTATAATATGCTGAACGTGCGCCGTGACTCCAAGGCATCGGTTAGGGCAGGTGGATGGTCTCTCTGTATTTAGAGGCGGGGCATGGTGGGTGGTCCTTGCATATTTTATAGGGGTATCTGGGAAGGGACAACCTGTGGCGTGAGGATGATTTCGGCATGCCCCAGAAAGTCAGCCGGAATTGGGTGTCCCGGGATCGTAATGTTGGAATATATGGAAGTGAAGGAATCTCTGAGGTCTCTAGTGGTGGAAAAACCTGATGGGAGCTCTAATCCTCCCCAGTCCCCCCCCAAAAAAAAAACCATCCAAAACTAAGTTTGGGGTAGCCAAACTCCGGCCCTCCAGCTGTGGGGGTGAAACTACAAATCCCAGGATGCATCTCCCTCTCCGGGAGAGTCGTGGCTGAGAATCTTGCAATGCCTCATGGGATTTGTAGTTCCACCCCACAGCTGGAGGGCCAGAGTTGGGCTACCCCTGCTTTATACCATGAAGTGGTCGCCCCCCCTTCCGCATGTTGAGGGGAGATGAAACCTCACTGCCCCTCACAGTACAGTGAGGGTTGTAGTCCTTGGACAGGAAGTGTTACTGGCAGGTACACATCAGTCTGTAAAATGAAGGCTTATGCGGCCACCATGTCACATGACTGCTAAGATGCGTTATTATTATACAGGATTTATGTAGCGCCAACAGTGTGCGCAGCGCTGTACAATATAAGGAAGACATTACAATACAAGACAAGATGGTAAGGAGGGCCCTGCCCCTGAGAGCTTACAATCTAAAGGGGAGGGGCCAGTGATACATGAGGAGGTAGCTGTGTGGGGATGAATTGTCTGAGAATGTGATAGTTCAGCGGTCAGGTTGAGGTGGGAGTGGCAATGTAGTTCTTGGGTTTTATATACATGAACTGCGGCCCTCCAGCTGTGGTGGAACTACGAATCCCAGGAGGCTTTGCAAGATTCTCAGACATGACTCCCGGAGGGATGCTTCATGGGATTTGTAGTTTCACCCCCACAGCTGGAGGGTCGGAGTTTGGCCATCCCTGGTCTAGTGACTGGCATCGAAGGCCGCCGTGTGTATCTCCCAGTCGTCACTAGCGGAGGACTTGCTGGGTTGTTCCTCTCGTCACATTTCATTGTCTTCCCTGGCTGCAGGTGCAAGTTCCTCCGTGAGAAGGACCGGGACCAGAACGAGTATCCCAATCTGTACTACCCCGAGCTCTACATCCTGGAAGGAGGTTACAAGGACTTCTACGCCAAGTTTAAGGTGAGCGCCGTATGATCGGCTGCAG